AAAAAAAAAGAACCAATGGTATTGAAGAAAGAAGTCCAAGCTGCACTGAAGGAATTGGCAGAAAATAAGGATCCAGGAATAGATAGAATACCCATTGAGATGTTTCAACAAATGGATACAACACTGGAAACACTCACTCATTTATGTCAAAAAACCTGGAAGACAGCTACATGGCCACTGACTGGAAGAGATCCATATTTATGCCCATTCCAAAGAAAGGTGATCCAACAGAATGTGGAAATTATCAAACAATATCATTAATATCACACATAAGTAAAATTTTGCTGAAAATAATTTTTAAAATAGTCACAGCAGTATATAGACAGGGAACTGTTAGAAACTGCATTCAGTGGAGGATGAAGAAGGGGGGATATCATTGCTGATGTCTAATGGATCATGGCTAAAAGCAAAGAATACCAGAAATATGTTCACCTGTGTTTTATGGACTATGCAAAGGCATTTGACTATGTGGATCACAACAAATTAAAGATAACACTGCAAAGAATGGGAATTCCAGAACATTTAATTGTGCTCATGGGGAACCTGTACACAGATGAAGAGGCAGTCATTCAAACAGAACAAGGAGATACTGCATGTTTCAAAATCATGAAAGTTGTGCATCAAGATTGTACCCTTTCACCATACTTATTCAATCTGCATGCTGAGCAAATAATCTGAGAAACTGGACTACATAAAGAACACAACAAAGTGGGAAATCACTTAGTAGGTTACTGGGATGGGGAGGGAAGGGGAGGGATTAATTTAGGGCTAGCTGGGGCCTACATGCTGATGTGGGTAGGGGGAGGGATATGTGGGAAGGATCTGTGACCACCACGATAACTTAGGAAATGGGAGGACACCAAATTGTGCACTAAGAGATAGACAACAGATGCTAATACCAACCAATGTGTCCACAATACTGCACTGCCATTAACACCAAACACCAGGCTACAGATAAACACATAAACACCTGAGAGGATCAGATGGGGGTCAGTAAACACGAAGTATACTGTAGACCAAGGATAGATTTAGCTGAGGTTAATCTTGCACAGACACCAGTGATACAAAATACCTGCATTCCTTAATAGAAGACAGACACAGAGTAATCCTTCACAGACAACCAGACACTGGGAGAGAGATCCAATAGATCTACCGTCTCAGGACCATAGTACTGGGGGATACCAGACTCAGTTGGCACAACAAAATACATAAAAGCCTTGCTCCACATCCTACATTGATGAGTAACAACTGGGGTCTTAAAAGCTTTCAAGTGGCCACATAAGATGCAGTTTACAGTCTCCTAGAATTGGAAGCAAAGAAGAACACACAGACACACACACACACACACACACACACACGGGCTTTTGGAAGCAAACAGCCCTAGGACACAATGGCCCTTGAGACCAGAAGAACTAGATGGTGCCTGGCTACCAATGGCAACCACTCAGGAAAGGATCAAATCTGGAGATCCTGGATAGAGTGGGAGGGAAAACGTGGAACAAAATCCAAAAACTCAATAATGACCAGAATTACTGGTCAGATGAAATATGGTGAGACCCCCAATACTATGGCCCTGGAATACATTCTGCACCTGGAATAAAACACACCCCCAGGGGCTGGCTCTCAGACCAATAGTTAAAAAGATGTACACGCAGACCACTCAACCCAGGATAATGCACCCACATATTCTATGGTAATACATTCCTTAGAGCAATAGATCATCATGGGACACCAGAGGACCAATATTCAAATTGAGGAAATGCAGGACAAACAGGAGTACATAAATATGAGGGGCACAGGGGGAGGGTTATATAGTGTAGGTAGGGGAGGAAACTGGGTTAGGGCTGGACATGGTAAATGGGGAATGAAACTAAATGTACAAGTAACATTGAATATAAAACAAGCTCTTAAAATAATAATAATAATAAACCACAGCATCAAGATTAGAAGAAAACTTATTAATAATTGTGATATTCAGATGACACAACCTGGCTTGCTGAAAGTGAAGAAGACTTGAAGCACTTCCTGACAAAGATGTTAGATTACACTTCAACATGTTGTTGTTGTTGTTACGTGCCATCGAGTTAGCCCAGACTCATAGTGACCCCTCCTTGGGTTGCCAAGGCAGTGTCACTATGGAAGTAGATTGCCCAACCTTCCTTCCGAAGAGTGGCTGGTGGGTTTGAACCACCAGCTTTCTGGTTAGCAGTCAAGTGCCTTAGGCACTATGCTACCAGAGCTCCTACACTTCAACATAAAGAAAACAAAAATCCTCATGCCTGGACCAATAAGCAACGTCATGATAAATGGAGAAAAGATTGAAGTTGTCAAGATTTTCATATTACTTGGATCCACAATCAACACCTATGGAAGCAGCAGTAAAGAAACCAAATGACATATTGCATTGGGCAAATCTGCTGCCAAAGTCTTTTTAAAGTATTAAAGAGCTAGGATGTCACTTTGAACACTAAGGTGCACCTGACCCAAGCCATGGAATTTTCAATAGCCTCATATGCATAAGAAAGCTAGACAATGAAAAAGGAAGGTTACAGAAGGATTGACGCATTTGAATTGGGCTGTTGGTGAAGAATATTGACTATACCATGGACCAAAAGAAGCAACAAATCTGTTTTGGAATAAATATACCTAGAATGCTCCTTAGAAATGAGAATGGCCAGACTTGTCTCTCATACTTTGGTCATGTTATTAAGAGAGACCAGTCCCTGGAGAAGGATATCATGCTTGGTAAAGCAGAGGGTCAGCGAAAAAGAGGAAGACCCTCAATAAGATGGACTGACACAGTGGCTGTGACGATAGGCTCAAGCATGGCAACGATTGTGAGGATGGCACAGGACCGGGCAGCATTTGGTTCTATTATACATAGGGTCACAATGAGTCAAAACCAACTCAATGGCACCTAACAACAACAATAACCCTTACTGTTCTCACAGCTGTATCTTATGCCTTTAAAAATATGGTGTTTTTTTTTTTTTGTAATCCAACTAGGATTTTCTAGTTGTTGTAATAAGAGCATTGGCCTGCCTTGGTCTACTTGGGCACTACCATATAGTTTTAAGTTCTGTACAACTGATGATATGATGAAACATGGGGAAAATAAATATGAAGTAGATAAATGGCAAAATTTTAAAAAATAGCAAAAACTAAACTTTTAATTAGATGAATTTTCAAACAATAAAATGAAAATTTTACCACTTATTTCAATTAATTTCCATATCACAGTATTTATTATCTTTGAAAGTGCAGAGAAAAAACACACTGATGCAGGGTTAACAAGAGAATAAATTGGGATAGTCCCTTTGGAAACAATGTTGGAAACATCTATCAAAAATCTAAAGCATATACCTTTGATGCAGCAATCACACTGATAGAAACTTACTGTAAAAATTGTAATTTATACACTGATGCCATGATCAATGTACAATCACATCTATTGTAGCATCATCTTTAACAATAATTTTAAAACAAAACTAAAATCCAAAACCTAAATCCCACCCAGAGGGGACTGGTTAAATGAATAATATAGTTATACAATCGATACTATGAAGAAAGAAATAACTGCATGTTTCTTTATTTAAAGAAGGAAACACAAGAATTTGTAAACAATGATTACTTCTTGGAACAGGACTAGGGATGGAGAAGATATTTTTATTTCTCCTTGTATCCTTGTGTGTGTGGTTGTAAATTACTGTTTAGTGTTTATAATAAAATGATTTTCAATGAATACTTATTTAAAATATTTATGTTAATAGAATCCCAAGTATAATTTTAAAAGTATACTCTGCTTGAATGTGATTGGCATCCACTAACTGCTTATGCGATTGACACCTACTTGTACTGTGCAATGTTATATGAGCCGGCTTCATTGATTTTCTAAATCTCTCTTAAAAAAATCAATTTAAAGAGCAGTTCTAGGGATCCGAGTGTACTGCCTGCATATAAAAAGGCATTAAGGGAGAATAAAAGTCCAGAAAGATGAAGATGAGGAAATGGTCATTAATAGAGAGAAATTCTAGAGGTAGAAGATAAATCAATGCAATTCAATTAAGTAAACAGCTAGGCAAAGGGTTTGTTTCTCTCTCAATTGCCACATACTACCTGGATACCTCAGTTCAATCTAATATTTCCCCCCACACCAATTTCATAAAATAAGAAGTCATTTTATATACTGTTTGCATATACAAAGATATATCTAAATGAGCTTACTCAAAGTGACGTGGTATGAAAGAGTAAATATAAACTCACTAAAGTACAAAACATTTATTTCACAATATATAATATTATTTTAATTTACCTATTAGCATGTGTTCCCCATGTCAGTGGTTCTTCCTTTTTGGAAGACATAGACCCTTCTGAGAATCTGATGAAAAAACATGCCCCCAGAAAATGCAAATATTTTTATGTATAACATTTTACATTCATTCTCAGGAAGTTCACAAAATCTCTGCAGCCCTTACTTAGATTGAATGGTAAGAATCCTTGCTCTTTAAAAATAAATAAATAAATAAAACAAAAATACAAATATGCAAACTGATTACCTTTGCATGTAGGTGGGAGGCCACTCCATTCTCCTTGGTCATCTTTTTCAATACACTGAATAGAATCCTTTCCCATTAGGGTGAAGCCTTCAGTACATTTGTATGTGACAGATTGTCCATATACATAATTTTGCTTTTTCCCTTTAATTTTTCCATTGTCAATTTCTGGTGGTTCTGGACAAATTATTTCTTAAAAAAAATATTCCAATACCTTTTAAATAAGTAAAACTGGCAAGGTATTTTACAAATAAGTAAGACTAAAATATGTTGAAGACTTTATTTTAAAGAAAGAAATCTATGAAATTATTAAATTTAGCATTACCAACCAAGGATGCTTATAAATCCCTACCATATTAAGTATCTGGAGCTTGGAATGTAAGAAACCATGAAACATGAATGCTAACCTTGAGGCCAATGTATAGAAATAATAAGAGTAGAAGACAGATTTATAATAAGGTTGGCACATGTTACATATAGCAGGGGGTGGACAGAGAAGCCTTTAGGGAGTAAAAGGAGCTTAAATTTGAACTTAAATGTACCCTTCTTCTAACATATTATTGTTAGGTGGTGTGGAGTCAATCCTGATGCATTGTTGTTGTTGTGTTATTTGCCCTCGAGTCAGACCTGACTCATAGCAACCCCTCCTTGGGTTTCCGAGGTGGTATCACTATGGAAGTAGATTGCCCAAACAGTGACAGCAATATAACAGAGTAGAACCACCCCATAAGGTTTTCTTGGCTGTAATCTTTACAGAAGCAGATCACTACATCCCTCTCCTGAAGAGCAGATGGGTGGGTTCAAGCCACCAACATTTCAGTTAGCAGCCGACTTCTTAATTGGATTCTTCTAAGATCACACTCGACGGCACATAACAACAACAACAACAACAAGATCACACTGCTGCCTTCAAGTTGATTCTAACTCACAGCAACCTTACAGGACAAAGGAGAACTGCCCCATAGGGTTTCCAAACTACAATCTTTATGGAAGCAGACCACCACATCTTTCTCCTATGGAGTGGCTGGTGGGTTCAAATTACTGATCTTCAGTTAGCAGCTGAGCTCTTTAACCACTGTGCCACCAGTGCTCCTCTCGTCTAAGACAGAACAGTGAAAAGATATTTCTTTTCATTCCAGAGGGAATGATGCCAAATGAAAGGAGTTGCGAATTCAGGTAGCTTACTTGGGAGATACAAATTGATCATTTTTTAACAGAATGGAGGCTCTTGAATGTCAATATTATAAAGCAAATATTTTTACTGTTAGGATAAAAAAATTAAAGCACATATTGACTCACAGAGCCTTAAATTCAACATAAATCTTACTAAGAAGCCCAATTTACAAAGCAAATACAAGTGGAACTGTTCTAGTTATCTTGCAAATAGAGCACTCTCCTTGGCAGTAGCCCTGTTTAAAAAATGTTAATGGTTCCACATTCTCTAGAACCATGAAGTTGTTTTGTCTTTTTTTTTCTTTTCTTTTTTTAAAAGCAGGAAAGCAATGTGATCACATACAGACCACAAAAGATATTACCACCAAATGCACATAAGCACCCAGAGAATACTAGCAAGTTTATAAGTTACTCCTGGATAATAAGCTTTAAGACCAATACAAGGAGCAAGAACAAGCTAATCTGCTTTATAGCAGGTTAGGTTGTATGGTTACTACGCACATCATCATCAGTTCAGTTCAAACATTTTCTGAGCACCTAATAAAACCAAACAAAACCCACTGCCATCAAGTTGATTCTGACTAATAGTGAATCTATGAGACAGACTGCCCCACAGGGTTTCTAAGACTGTAAATCTTTATGGAAGTAGACCGCTTCATCTTTCTCCTGCGGAGTAGCTGGTGGGTTTGCACTACCGATCTTTTGGTTAACAGCCAAATCCTTTAACCACTACGCCACCAGCTCCTTTAAGCACCTAGTGTTGCTGTTTTTGTTGTTAGGTACTCTGGAGATGTCTCTGACTCATAGTGACCTCATATACAACAGAATGAAATACTGCCCAGTCCTGTGCCTGCCTCATGATCCCTGCTATACTTAAGACCATTGTTGCTGCCACTGTATCAGTCTATCGTATTGAGGGCTTTCCCCTTTTTCATTGACCTCCACTTTACCAAGCATGATATCCTTATCCAGAGAATGACAACATGACCAAAGTAGGTGAGATGAAGACTGGCCATTCTCGCTTCCAAGAAGCATTCCGGCTGCACTTCTTCCAGGACAGATTATCAGTCTTTTTAGTAGTCCGTGGTACTCTCAGTATTCTTCCCCAACACCACAACTCAAAAGCATCAACTCTTCTTTGGTCTTCCTTAGGCATCATCCAGCTCTCAACATGAATTTGAGGTGATTGAAAATACCATGGCCTGGGTTAGACACACCTTAGTCTTTGAGGAAACATCTTTGCTCTTCAGCACTTAAAAGAGATCTTTTGCAACAGATTTGCCCAATGCAATATGTCATCTGATGTCCTGACTACTGTTTCCATCGGTGTTGTTTGTAGAACCAAGTAATATGAAGTCTCTGACAATTTAAATCTTTTCTCCAATTATCGTGATGCTGCTTACCGGCCCCATTGTGAGGATTTTTGCTTTCTTTATATTGAGGTGTAATTCATGCTGCAGACTGTAGTCTTTAATCTTCATCAGTAAGTGCTTTAAGTCATCCTCACTTACAGCAAGCAAAGTTGTGTTGCCTGCATATTGCAAGTTGTTAATGAGCCTTCCCCCAATCCTGATGCCATGTTCTTCTTCATATAATCCGGCTTCTTGGATTATTTGCTCAGCATACAGATTGAACAAGTATGGTGAAAGGATATAACCTTGATGCACTGCCTTCTTGATTATCTTGTCATTTCTTCCATTTGCTTTAGCTACTCTCTGTTCAAGAGCAAGTTTCAGAGTCTCTTCTGACATCCATTTTGGTCTTTTCTTCTTTTCTTGTCTTTTTAATAACCTTTTGCTTTCTTCATGGATGATATTCTTGATGTCATTTCACAATTCCTCTGGTTTTTGGTCATTAGTTTTCTGTGCATCAAATCTATTCTTTAGATGGTCTCTAAATTCAGGAGGGATATAACCAAGGTCATATTTGGTTCTTGTGGGCTTCTTTTAATTGTCTTCAGCTTCCATTTGAACTTGCATATGAGCAGTTGATTGTCTGTTCCACGATCAGCTCCTGGCCTTGTTTTGGCTGAAGATATTGAGCTTCTCCATTGCCTCTTGTCACAGATGCAGTCCATCTGATTCCTGTGTAGTCCGTCTGGCAAAGTCCATGTGTATAGCCACCATTTGTATTGTAGAAAAAAAAAGTATTTGCAATGAATAATTCGTTGGTCTTGCAAAATTCTATCATGCAATCTCCAGCATTCTTTCTATCCTCAAGGCCATATTTTCCAACTACTGGTGATTCTTCTTTGTTTCCAACTTTTGCATTCCAGTCACCAGTGATAATAAAGACATCTTGATTGGATATTTGGTCAATTTCAGACTGCAGAAGTTGGTAAAAAATCTTCAATTTCCTCATCTTTGGCTTTGGTGGTTGTGTAATAATAATAGTAGTAGTATTAACTGGTCTTTCTTGTAGGTGTATCAATATTATCCTATCACTGACAGCACTGTACTTCAGGATAGATCTTGAAACATTCTATGTGTTGATGAATGCCATGCCATTCCTCATCAATTTGTCATTCTTGGCATAGTAGATCATATGACTGTCTGATTCAAAATGGCCAAAACCAGTCCATTTCAGCTCAGTTATGCCTAGGATATTGATCTTTATGTGTTCCATTTCATTTTTGACAACTTCCAATTTTCCTAGATTCAAACTATGTACATTCCATATTCTGATTATTAATGGATGTTTGAAGCTGTTTTTTCTCATCTTGAGACATGCCACATTAGCAAATAGAGGTCCCGAAAGCTTTACTCCATCCACATCATTAAGGTTGGCTCTACTCTGAGGCAGCAGCTCTTCCCCAGGTATATTTTGAGTGCCTTCCGACCTGAGGGGCTCATCTTCTGGCACTATATCAGGCAGTGTTTCAGGGCTATTCATAAAGTTTTCCAGTAATATATCAGACAGTGTTTCACTGCTATTCATAAGGTTTCACTGGCCAATTCTTTGAGAAGTAGATGGGTTCTTCCTTCTTCCAAGTCTGTCATAGTCTGGAAGGTCCGCTGAAACCCACCATGGGTAACCCTACTGGCATCTGAAACACTGGTGGCATAGCCTCCAGCCTTACAGCAACATGTAAACCACCACAGTATGACAAATTGGCAGACAAGTTTGTCTCTCTTAGCTGTTCCAAACCACCCTGCTTACTTCTTAGTCTCTCTCAGCAGCTCCAAACCCCCACTCTCCCTTAGTTGTTCCAAACCTGCTGACTCATTTTCTGGCCTCCCCTGGCCACTCCAACACCTGCTTGCTGTGCCTGGCTTGGTTCTTGGCCTGCCCCAGCTGCTCCAACAACAAAGCACCTAATACATACCCAGAATTGTTCCTAAGCAAAAGTACAAGCTGAATAAAATGTAATTTCCTGTGTTCTAAAATCTAATGGGGAAAAGAGTCAAAGAGATCATTTCAATACAACATGGTGAGGATTATCATAGAAGTATGCACAGTGATATGGAAAAAGAGAGGAAAGACAGTCAATCCAACCGAGAGACCCAGAGAAAGCTTCTGAAAAGACTATACCAAAGCAGGCTTTTGATAAGGAAAATACAGCCAAGAAAAGAAAGGTCTGAAGGACATTCTGAGCAGAAGCAGCAGCATAAGGAATGATGTGGAGGCAAGAAAGAGCATGAGGTACATGGAAAACTACAAGCGGTCTGTGTTGGTAAAGTGTAAAGTATGAAAGCAAGATGTGAACATGGAGAGGTGGGTAAACCAGACTAGCATGGGCACTTTACTAAGGAGTTTGGAGTTTGTGACTGATGGGGAGACACTAGTAAGTTTTAAGATAGAAAGAGACAAGCTGCAATTTGGTCTCAGATAGATCACTTCTGGGAGAGTATGGATGAAACATTAATGGAAACAAGACTGGAGGCAGGAGACTATTGCAGACATTATCATGATGGAACACCCAGCCAACTAGGACTCCTGACCAGCCCCACCCTTTAAAAGGCCATGATCTGGCCCTCCTCTGGCTATGCTTCTCCTCACCAAATGGAATATCTTGAGGGTTAAGAGGATATGCTCAATGAGAGCCTGTGCCCCTTCATTCTAACTCTTGCTCTAGAAACTGGCATCCAGAATTTCCTGTGCCTCTGTGCCCCTTCATTCTAACTCTTGCTCTAGAAACTAGCACCCAGAATTTCCTGTGCCTATACCCAGAATCAACTTGACAGAACTGACTTGATGGCAATGAGTTTGGGTTTGGGGTTTGGCATATCCCTTGGGGTTTGGCATATCCCTTCTGGGTTGTCTAGGTGGTGCAAATGGTTAAGCACTTGACTATTAGCTAAAAAGTTGGCAGTTCTAACCCTGCTCTGAGGCACCTCAGAAGATAAGCCTATGGATCTGTTTCTGGAAGGTCACAGCCTTGAAAGCCCTATGGAGTAGTTCTACTCTGCACACATGGTGCTGCCATGAGTCAGAATCAATTTGATAGCAACTAACATCTACATACCCCTTCTAGGGCCTGAGAGGATCCCTTCCTGTCACCTATACTCATGAAGGAGTTTATACTGGTAAAGTGAATACTTATAGGTCCAAATGACAACAGAGTGGGAATAAAGATCATGGCGGATATGGCTTGGATGTGCAAGTTGGGTTGTACACTTGAACACACCAGAGAGAGTCCTTCATAGTGTGGGAAGGAGGGGACTATTTGAGAAGGGGTGGGTCTCCATTTATACTCTTGCCCAGGGCTCTGAAAATGTTAGGGCTGGCCCTGACTACTGTAGTCCATATGAGGGATAAGGACTATATGAGAGGAAGGGTAAAACCCAGGTTTGAGAAATATGTTAAGGAGCTAAAACAAAAGGAGTTAGTGATTAGATATGAGGGTGTGGAGTGGTGAGTCTAGGATAAAGAGAGGAGTCTGAGATGACAACCAATATGTGGCAGGGATAAATTCCAGGTTAGCATGTACCAGCCATCACCTGAAATCATATTTAAATAGGAAAACACTATTAGGGAGAAATAGGGACACAGGACCTTCTGATAGGCCAGTTCCAACAGTGAGGCTTAATTCAGAGGTGAACAAGTACTACCTCTGTTTGATGTAAACTAAAGATAATTCTTGAATGTGCCCATTGTTCTTTCTGTTTCCAATGAGTTAAGACGAATGGATATCAATGCTCCCTATCAATAGGCCAGAGCTGCATACTGAATAACTAATTGTTTAAGAGTATATTTTCCTTTCAATCTCTCTGGTATTGCCAAAATAGAAAAGTAAGTGATGTGGAAAATGAAAACTGGAGCCTAAAGGAAATAGAAGGAACCCTGGTGGCACAACACTTAAGAGCTTGGAGGCTAACAGAAAGGTCAGCAGTTCAAACCTACCAGTGGCTCTGTGGAAGAAAAGACCTAGTGATATGCTCCTGTAAAGATTATAGCCTAGAAAACTCTATGGGGCAGTTCTACTCTGTCACATGGGGTCACTAAGAGTTGGAATTGACTTGATGGCATCTAACAACAACAAAGTAGGACTTTATAGGGATAGTTGAAGACACTAGGGTTGCTTAAGAGGTGGACTCTCTCCTGCAGAAAATAAAGATCACTGCATGCTGAGTTGGAGAGATAAATAAAAGAGTCAGAGGAAACATGAACATCAGGATATTCCCCATGGGATTCAAGAAACCAGATAGGGAGTAGGACAGGTGCCTGGACATGGGCAAATGAGAAGAGAAGAGGATTTTCAGTGTAAAAGCTCTTCTATGCTAAAATATATCCTTGGGATCCACATTTCTATGAAATTCAAAACAGTATGTGTTTGTGAAAACATTGACTTCGGACTGGGAGACTCCATGCCCAGACTTTGTGACATGTGGCCCGTGGCCGGGAAAGATCTGGCCTGGCTCCTGTCTGCTCATCTTTACTACCATTTACAACATCCCTTACTGGATGGTAGTGATGGGAAAATTGGTCATGGGTATTGATGATAAAAATTTTAAAATACTAATACTGATGAGAAAAAGGGAAAAGATCAGACATAGAAGATGAGGGAGCAGTGCAGCAGGTAGGTGTGATGTAACGACCTCTTTTCATTTGTCTTTCTATCAGTTGACGCCACACATTTCCTACCATAAAGTGTCGATCAACAAATGCTTGTTAATTATACCAAAGCTACCCTAGTGTCCTGCTACTAATAACAGCAAAAACTTCACCTTAGCAATGACTTTGACAATACAGTTTTTAGAAGTCACTTGCAGAAGTGTAAGTTAAGGGGTAGAAAGAGGAGAGGATGGCATAAATGAAGCATGCATCTTAAAATATTTTACTCTCAATTTTCAGGAGACATGCATCTCTAATGGACATAACTTTGGCTTGATACATCCATTTATAATAGTATTTTTGTATTCCTTTCTTCCCTTGAGAAGGTAAGATACTCAAGTACAGAAACCATATTTCTTCTATATTATGTAACTATATTTCTTTGATGAGAAAAATATATCACAATGTAAAACGCTTCTAAATAATTACTTCAGGTAATCTTTGTAATAGTAAAAGAAGGAAGGTAGGCAACATTGGTTTTAGAAAAAGTTAAGTCAAGAGTCCAGGGTTGCCTAACATGTTTTGGGTTATAGAGTCAAGTCATATAGACTCTCTGATCCACAGAATTTTCACCCATAAAGTTGTGGAAAAAAATACCATATATATATATATTACTTGGCTGTTAGAAGGAATAGTTAGATAATAAATGACCAATATAACACAAAGTAAGTTAGTTATTCTATAGTTAAGGATACTGGAGCTCATAAACCCTTGGTGAGTTATCATCATAGCTAATAAATGAAGGGGTTTCACTAAAAATCATCTTTAAATTAGCTAACATGGCTGAAAGATAAGGGAACTACAAATCCTATGTACTGTGGATAATTCTAAATGAGCAGAAAGTAATTGGTTATTCATCATTTAGCTCTAAAACCTAAGCTTAGACTTTTTTAGTCTTACCTTTGCACTCTGGCAGTGGGTCACTCCACTCAATCTTTTTTCTCACATTAGAACAAAAACTAGAAGTGGCACCAACTAATTTGTACCTAAAGCAATAGAAGGAGGAAAAGAGAAAAGAAGATAACATTTGTATATACTTGATTTCCCACAGATTCTTCAGAATGTCATCTTAAAATATTTACTACACCAGTAGATGGAGACAAAGCAAGAGCTGATAAATGCTCACATGGTAGATAAAAGGAAAATACACAGTAAATGTAAAAGGGTGGCATCCAAAGATAAAAATGTATACAACATATAAAATATTTTAATTTGCTTTGGGTACATGTTAAAAAAATGTAAGTGTTTTAAAACACATTTGTATAAAATGGATACTTGAATTTTTATATTTCTGAGTTCTGAAAGATCAATACAGTCCTCAGATTATAACAGAATCAACTTATATTTAAAGGTTCAAAGCATTCTCCAGATTCTACATTAATAACTCAAACATCTGTACAGGAGAAAAATGATGCAGGTAAATTCATTTTATAAGAAACAAACAACAAACAGGGACACACACACAGAAAGAATAAAATAGCACAATTCGATTTGCAGATAACTCAATGAAAAAATGAATGGAAAGTTTTCAGCCGTGTCTGAGACACTGATGATGCTTATTAAGTGAGTTGCTTTCCCTATTTAGAGAAGATATAAACATTTTAAGTTAGAATAATATTTGCACACAAAGAATAAATGTTTTTAAACCAGGACATTTTGTAACAGTTGGTATATAGAAAAATCTATATGCAAATTTATTGTTTAGTGAACTTAAAGATTGATTTCTTATTTAACTCCTAAAGGTTTTAATTTCTGCAAGTATTGTCAACAAATCTTGTTAAATTTTTTCCTTTGCTAATTACTCAACATTTGGAATTTTATATTGCATCACATACATATTGGAATCCAAGAATTTAGAGTATTTGGTGGTATAAGAAATCTTGCCTACTTTACTAAATTTAATTGTGATGAGTTCATGATGAAGGATCTTTGAGGAGAGGGGTAGCTTTAGTTCCTACCAACTTGTAAACACTGGCTATGTGTTAAATCCTAACTGCGTTTTGCTTTGCTTAATATAGTGCTTAGGAGCTCTGGTAGCATAGTGCCTAAGGCACTTGACTGCTAACCAGAAGGCTGGTGGTTCAAACCCACCAGCCACTCCTCAGAAGGAAGGTTGGGCAATCTACTTCCACAGTGATACCGCCTCAGAAACCCAAAAAGGGGTCACTATGAGTCGGATCAACTCCAAGGCAGATAACAATAACAACAACAAATGTAGTGTTTAGTATGCCATAACTTACCCTGTATCACATGAGAAATAGATGGGTGAGCCAAATAATATGTCAGTTGTTATATTGACATGACCATTTTTTATTTTTCCAGGTTCAGGACATGATTTCTCTAGAAGATAAATAAATATAAACACATTAATTTTTTCATTAAATTAAAAGGCACAATATGCATATAAATCATCTAAACCACTGCTATTTCTTATGTTTAGACATCTTTATTCTACTTTCATTTTATAATTTACTGAGTGTCCACATAGACATTGTTGCTAGGCATGAAGAAAGACAGACACTTCTTTGAAATGTTATTTTTGTTGTTGTTGTTATTTGCCATCGAGTCGGCCCCGACTCATAGCGACCCCTCCTTGGGTTTCCGAGGCAGTATCACTACGGAAGTAGGAATGCCCAACCTTCCTTCCAAGGAGTGGCTGGTGGGTTTGAACTGCCAGCCTTCTGGTTAGCAGTCAAGTGCCTTAGGCACTATGCTACCATTTAAAAAAAAATCAACATATTTAGGATATATACATATTTCATTTTAAACCAAACCCCTTGCTACTGTAGTTGATTCTGACTCATAGTCACCCTATATTGTTGTTGTTGTTAGGTGTCACGGAGTCCTCTCTGACTCATAGAGACCCCATGCACAGCAGAACGAAACACTGTCGGGTCCTGCGCCAACTCCATGATCCTTGCTATACTTGAGCCCATTGCTGCTGCCACCATGTCAATCCACCTCATTGAGGGCCTTCCCCTCTTCATCAGCCCTCCACCTTACCAAGCATGATATCCTTCTCCAGAGAATGACAACATGACCAAACTAGGTGAGACGAAGTCTGGCCATTCTCGCTTCCAAGGAGCATTCTGGCTGTACTTTTTCTTTAGTTCTTTCAGCAGTCCATGATATTCTCAGTATTTCTTCACCAACACCACAACTCAAAAGCATCAACTCTTCTTCAGTCTTCCTGAGTCATTGTCCAGTTCTCATATGCATATGAGGCGATTGAAAATACCATAGCTTGTGTCAGGCGTACCTTAGCTTGACACAAGCTATAGGACAGAAGAGAACTGCCTACAGGGTTCCAAGACTATAAATCTTTAAGGGAGAAGTCTGTCTCATCTTTCTACCATAGAGTGGCTGATGGATTTGAACCACTGACATTTTGGTTAGCAGCTAAGCGCTTAACCACTGTACCACCAGCAAGCCTTTAACTATTTAATTGTGAATTCTGTGAGTTAATGAAAGAGCTCTAGTGGCGTAGTGCTTAAGACATTTGACTGCTAACCAGAAGGCTGGTGGTTCAAATCCACCAGCCGCTCGTCAGAAGGACGACTGGGCAATCTACTAGAGATATTACCTGGAAAACCCAAGGACAGCCCAAGAACAGATTGCTATCAACTCAACAGCAGTGAGGTGTTTTTCTTTCATTGGTGAGAGTAATGAACATTCCTACCACAAAAATATTTAAATCTGCCTAATTTTTAAAAAATCACTCTAACAGTTTTTTTTTTTTTTTTTTTTTAGGATTTGGGTGAAGATTTACAGAGTAAATTCACTTTTCATACAGCAGTTCACATATACTTTGTCTCATGTCATTGACCAAAATTTACAATGCAGCAGCTCCCCTCCCACTTCCTCCCCACAGTTACCTCCTCCCAGTGTCCATCCCTTCATACTCTTCTGCACCCTAAGCTATCTCCCTGTGCATAAGCAGCCCTTCCTTCTCCCATGATTGTTCTCTCCAGGGCGTGTGTCTACTTGAGGTAAATGTTTAACTCACATGCCTGTACTTTCTAACATTTTTTTAAGAATTGATAAAGTAATAGCATGTACATTGAGTTCCAGCATCCAGCATGAATGAGGGAAGAGATACTATTTTCCCCAAATATCAGATGATTAGGAATACTCTTTAAAACCATACTCACTTTTACAAAATTCAGCAGGTTTGGACCATGTGAAATTCTGAAGGCAAGTTAGATTTCCAGATAGAGAATTGTCCCTGTCATAAGCCACACGGCACTCATATTCCACAGTGGAACCGGCTGGGAAATAATTCTGTTTGCTGTAAAGCTTTTTGAGGGATGCGAAGGGTAGCTTGGTTGGAACATCACAGCTACCTAAAAAGTAGTAACAAAAACAACAAAAAGTAGTATCACTTTATTTTATAATCTATGTTTAATTACCTGGTCCTTAAATCACCTCTTTTTCTGTACTTAATTGTACACATTTGCTATTTATCTAGGTAGATGAATATTACCATGGCATCTACAGTGTACCAAAAGCGTTCACATACATCCTTCCATTTCCTGGTCACTAGAGGCCTATGAAGCAGATTGGGTATATAGATGTCACATTCCTCACTTTTCAGATAATATAACCCAGCTAAATTCTAGATTTACCTGGGTATATTGCCTAGCATAATTCTAGCACTCAATAAATATTAGTTCCCTTACCCTGTCCTGAGCAATTATACAACTCCTTGTGTTAGAGGGATAGATGAGAGCTACTTCTAAGATCCAAAGGCTAATGGCCTGAACAACGAAAATAATGGTAACAATAATAGCTATTATTTATTGAATACTTCAAAATATTTTATAAATCTAAACTTGTTCAAGCCTCACAACAACCGTAAGAGGACAAGGATCAGATAAGGATTAATAGTGTACCTAAAAGTATTTACAAACTGTAAAAAGCTGAACAAACGTAAATTTAGAAAGGTATGGTATAGTAAAGAGGAGATTGGATTTGTAGTCAAAAGATACAAGTTTGAATCCTGGCTCTCTCACGTAGGAGCAGCTGATCTTAAGGAAGTTATTTAACTTCTGAGAGTTATTTAACTTCTACTGTAAAATGTAGGAGCTCTGGTAGCATAGTGCCTAAGGCACTTGACTGCTAACCAGAAGGCTGGCGGTTCAAACCCACCAGCCACTCCTTGGAAGGAAGGTTGGGCATTCCTACTTCCGTAGTGATACTGCCTCGGAAACCCAAGGAGGGGTCGCTATGAGTTGGGGCCGACTCGATGGCAAATAACAATAACAACGGTAAAATGTGGACAAGAGTTTAATGAAGGGGTTTAGTGAAGTAATGTATATGGGAGAGTTGAAAACTATAAAATGGAATATGCATACAAAGGCTTACCTATTTCATCCTACTGGCTTTTATCATGGATAGATTAAAAAAAAATGTTAACAAAAAGTTGAAGACTATTTCTCATCTGGTTTCAAAAGTATTTGTGGAAGTTCCTATATATCTTGTATCTTCCATTGATTTCAAATTGTTCAAAGGCAAGGATCATCTTATCTTTATCTTACTTAACTCATTGCTAATATAAAGCTATGTATATAATGATAGGTAGATATAGAGAACTTTTAAAAAGGCCACCAGTGGTGTGTTTGATGAGTCCTACTTTACAAAATGAAATTTAAGAAAGTGATAACCTAGGCTATGTGTCTCAAGGTAATTGCCAAATATATTCATATATAATTTACTCCCTAAACAATACCTATTGTTTACCTTCTCCATTAGTTCTTTCAGGAGGTATAGTGTTAGGGAAAAAGCTCTAATGAAGCTGCAGGACCTACTCCGGGAAGTAATGCCTTCAATTAGCTGGAGTGTAAAGTGCCAACAAGATGTACCCTAGGGCTTAATAATGCTAGAAAACTATCAATTACCAGTCACTCTGAAGAGGTATAAAAATAAACTTAACAAGATATATCCATTGCCATAACTTTTCAAAAGAAGTAACTTACGATTACAAAATTCTGCAACTTCTGACCATTTACTATTCTTAAGACAGACCACTGAGTCTGGTTTGCCAGGAACTTTCACAAAGCCTTCATTACATTTGTACGTTATTATCTTTTGCTCAGGAAAACTTGTAAGACCTCCCAAAGATGGTTGGGCATTAGGTATATTTGGCGGAAGGCTGCAGTCACCTAGGGAGAAAAAAGAAGAACGGAAAGAAAATACCACTTTTCAATTCACAGCAATATTCCTTTCCCAAAAGGAGTGGGCGAAGCAGGAGTTTGATGCACATATAACGTTTCCATTCAGGGCTGAACAAATCCATCAAGAACTTGCTCGACTTGTGTCTTGTCAATTGATTCAAGACTAAAAGAAGTCAGAGAGAATAAATCCCTCCCTTTCATTATTGAAAAGGGGGCGGGGGAATGGAATTTATAGAGTGTCACATAGATTCTGTTGCTAGACACGCACAAAGACAGATGGCCCCTTGAAAAGTTACACCTCGAGTAGATGACTTGCAAGGCTGTAGTACCGAATGTTGCCTGCTATTGGACTCTGTGTTTAGAGGCGTGAATAGCCAATTATCTGGCCTTTCACCTTTAAAAAGGAGAGTCTGTTGGGAATTTGAGAAGAATTCACTCAATTCGAGCCCTGCCTTTCGACTTCCCCACGTATGGCTGCTCTGAAAACTCAGCGCACGCTTCCCCAAGCCTCCATCTCACCCTTAAAGCCTTGCCAACTGGGGTCCAGCACAGTAAGATCCCCAAGTGCTGATTAGCCGCGGAGATCCGCTTCCTTGTCCCAAGGGATCATATCACTAGGCGCCCTGAGCCTTAAAGGCAGAGGATTACCAGAACAATTAAAAACCAGAAAAATAAAAATAAAAATAAAAAACACCCCAAACCCATTCAGTCGATTCCAACTCATAGTGACACTAAAGGACAGGGTAGAGCTGCCCTATAGGGTTTCCAAGGCTGTAAATCTTTACGGAAGCAGACTGGCACATTTTTCTCTCAGCAGAAGGGCTGGTGGGCTCCAACCGCTAACTTTTTGATAGCAGCAGTGAGCTTTAACCACTGTGCCACCAAGGGCTCCTTTACTGGAACGATTGCCGTTGCCCAAATTCTTCACCTCCCGAGGCCTGGTCTTCTCTTTGGTCTTGAAGACTTACCCCACCTCTCCCACATGGTCTAAGGGTTAACCAGTGCTGCTGGGTCCTGGCCCCCAACTCACCCCGCACGGCCGGCGAGCACAGCAGTAGCAGGGTCAGCCTCTGGAGGAGGTGCAGCACTGCGGGGGCGCTCTGCCGCGCGGGGCTCATGGTGCGCAGGAATAGGGACACAGCCCCGGGACTCAGCGGCATCGGCACCAAGAAGTGGGTTGAAATTAGGAGCTGTAAGCAGCTGCGCCTAGTAGTTCTACACTGGAATTAAATTTGCGCCTAGGGCGGGGCCCGCCTTTACTCACCAAAAGGGTGGGGCGAACGAGACTAGGGTGGAGAGTGGGTTTGCGCAAGCAGGTGCTGGGCGGGACCAGGGCGGGGGCTCTAGCGGCCCCCGCCTGTAGGGGCCCTAGGCTGGAGAAGAGTCTAGGGAGGGAGGGTAGTAGTACTCCCGCGCGCTAGGCTGGGACTCCCTTTTTCCGCTGCTAGGGTGGGGCGGCGATGAGCAGCCCTCTGGAACTGTAAATATCTTCTTAAAAAAACAAAAACAAAAACAAAAAAACCTCCTAGGGGAACAGAGAAGAGGAGAGTGGTTCTAGCGGTGCAGGCTTTGCTTCCCTGGAATCTGAACTAGTTTAAGTGGACCTTAAGGGCGCTTGAGCAAGTAAATGATCCCTGTGGTGGAATTCAGAGATAATGCATAAAGAGGGAGGAAAAATGGAAAGAAAATAGTTGCCATGGATATCAATTCCAACTCATGGTGCCCCTATGTGTGTCAAAGTAGAACTGTGCTCCCAGGATTTTCAATAGCGTTTTTCCGGAAGTGAGTTGCCTAGTAGTTGTCAGGCCCTTCTTCCAAATTGCCTCGGCCTCACTGCCTTAGAGTCAATTCGACTCATAACGACCCCTCCTTGGGTTTCCCAGGCGGTATCTCTACGGAAGTAGATTGCCCAGTCTTCCTTCCCAGGAATGTCTGGTGGGTTTGAACCTCCAGCCTTCTGGTTAGCAGTCAAATGCCTTAGGCATTCCAACCACTAGGTGCTGACCTTTTACACCACCCAGGACCTCCCCCTCAAGAGAAAGAACTGAGAAATAGTGCCCTCCCAGGGAATTTGCACTTTAACCATATCTGTCAAAGTGCCAAAATGAGGATAAGGAAGAAATAACAAGGGTTAGTGTATTGTCTCCTAGATTGCTCCACAATCCCAAAATAGCATGTGTGAGATAACTTGAGAAAGCAGGTCTAACAACCAGTGCATCACTGGTGTGTATGTGTGTGTGTGTGTTTATCTAAATGGGTGACACTGTTAAAGGTGGGTACCACCAAAATGACTGTCTATAAAATTTTTCTGCAGTGTTTCAGCAGAAATGTTTTTTTTTTTTTTAAATAAAAATATCCCTGTAATTAGTTATAACAACAAAAACATTTTTTCTTAACCAGCTTACACACATCAATATACCTACAAGGCTAAAACTCTATGTTAATTTACTTTTTGAACCTTCTAATGTACTCTGCTCAGAGCTGTCATTATTACTCAAGTACAATTAGCCTAGAATCAGGTGGTTTCATCTGCATGCGCTATTATAATTTAAAGTTATAGTTTTAATTTTGCTACTAGCTCTGGTAGCATAGTGGCTAAAGCACTTGACTGCTAACCAGAAGGCTGGTGGTTCAAACCC